TGGCTGGGGAATTCTGGAAGCTGAAGTCCACACGTCTTAAACTTGCCAAGTTTGAGAAACACTGATCTATAGATACAGACAACTGCACATACCACTTGCAATTCCCACTGAACTCTGATCAGCTTACATCATTTCATAAAAATATATGCCGCCATCTTGAATTGGAAGAGGATGAGATTGTATATCAACCTACCCCCATCTGTTTCCCCTCGAGATGTGTGGACTTCAACCTCCAGAATGCTCATCAGTGGTCTTGGATGTGGAATTCTGAGTCGCAAACCCAACATTCAGAGGGTTAGAACATCTGTCTTTGGATTTAAAACACAATGAAAGGAAGAAGCAAGGGGGGACTTTGGGTGGGGGATAAAGACGAACAATGCACATCTGACTTCTTGAGATTGCTAACAATGGTTGGGAACAAGGCAAACCTGAAAATGGATCTCATTTAAAAGGCATCACATCACGTTAATTTCAGTCAACATGACAACTTTCAGTATATTGCATCACCTCCCACCTCCGTCACATTAAACAATCCCAGTTTCATTGGAACTTTTTAAAGGGCTCTGTAGCTTCTAGATGTGTTTTTCAGAGGGCCTCAGATGAGGGCCTTTTGTTACAAAGGTTGTGAGGACCATGCCCTTGAAGAAGCAGCCTTCTGAACATGTTTTGGGAATGTCTGGAAAGAGATTTATGCAGCAGATCCCTAAGTGGGTCATGCAGATTCAAAGCGCTTATTAAATTGGGGAAATGAATCACTGGGTCATCTGTTCCTGACCTCTTTTGCACTGTGGGTGTACAAATTGCTGCTGCCCACACACACAAACTGCTTCCCCATTACGTTTTTCTTAAGTGCTTATTGGGGCTTGTTTCTTTAGAAGTTTTCCCCCTTAAGGCACATCCTGTTTACAGCTCCCAGGTGCTGCCCAGCCCGACTAGAATACTTAAAACTGTTCCTCGTTGACTTCAAAACAACCGACCAGCCAGGAGAGACACCCGTTACATGAAGAGGACACCTTGGGGTTGGGCATTGCAAAGCAAAGGGCACATCAGCTCTGCAGGATTGAAAAACTGGAGGATGGACTGTCTGAAAGATTCTGTCTTTGTTTTGCAAAACTCAAGATCCTGGCTCAGGGTACAAAAAGAGACTAGGAAAGACATCCCCAACTGGAAGTGTTGAAATCCAACTTCTCCAATCCCAACCCAGCATGGCTATGCTAGCTGAGTAGGACAATTGGTTGGAGAAGGCCGGTGAAATCCAGCAAATAGGCAGTTGAAAAAATGATTCTGGGAGACTGTGAGAAAAGCCCTACTGGAGGCTTTTCTCCAGTACTGGGAGAATGTTGGGAGGAAACTAGCAGTTATATGAAATATATGCACTTTGCATGCAAAGGTCTCATGGCTTCAATCCTTGGCAATCATTGGTGAAAAGATGTCATCTGGCTAGTGATGGAGAAGACACTTCTTTGCCCCTGACACCAGGGAACTGGTTCCAGTTAAGCAACATTCTACTACAGTGTTTCTCAACCTTGGGAACTTTAAGATTTGTGGACTTCAACTCCCAGAATGCTGGCTGGGGAACCTGGGAATTGAAGTCCACACATCTTAAAATCCCCAAGGTTGAGAAACACTGCTCTACTAGATAGGACACTGTCTGGAAGACAACTTATGTTCTAGCATAGGAGACCATCCCCAGTATTGGCAGGAGCAGGGGGAAAAACTCAAGATGTTGGTCGCAGCAGCACAATTAAAGTCCTGCTCCTTTGTATACACACACAACAGTGACAATCTGGAGGGGAGGACACTTTCCCTGATAATGATCCAATTCCCTGATCTTACCTATTTTAATTAAGATTCTTTTACTTTAGAAAAATGAACGAATCAGTGAAGCCAACTGTCAGCCGCAAGCATAACTTGAACCGCCAACGTAGAAACCCCATTAGCATTAACAGAAACTAAAATGGAGGGTGATCCCAGTCTAGTGTTTAGATGTCCTTTGCTGTGGGGCTATCCTGGGGTTGGCCAGTCCTACCATGGGAGCCATTTTGCAAGAGTACCATCACATGCTCCCAAAATTCCAGATGTGCCAATTGACTATGCATGACTTCTAGGGTGCAATAACTAATTGGCTTCACCTTCTGAACTATTATAGTGCCGGCTCTCTTTTGAGAAATTTCACAGACTCTTCAAAAGAGCCATTGCAAAGTCTGCAGTTCTTCTTGTTGAACTACTCAATGTATATTGCATGAACCAGAACGTCAGGTTAAGCCATAATAGGGCTTTGTTGGGCATAAAGTAGCATGCTACATGAACATAAGAACATAATTCTCTCTGGTTAACCTGGTATTTGCATGAAGCTAATCAAACTGTGCCATCTTTCTCACAGTTGAGCATGCTCAGATCCCTTCATCTCCCCTCCTGGGATTTAGTGTCCAGTCTCCTGATCATTGC